AAGCTGGAAATAAAATCATGTCATTGCCGAGTAATCTCTAGGCAATGACAAGTTGGAAGGACATGTTCACAATGTAACAAGTTGAAAATACTCACACACGTGCAAGCTATGTCCTACGACCATGGACGTGGTACAATACTCTAAATCTGTATGGGGTATGCGTGCCACAAGATAAGTAATAAAGAATCCACCGTTTATAAAATCATCATTGTCATAAATAATAAATCTGGTAGTAAAATCTTGAAATCTATCTAACTCATAAATCGTAAATCATGACTCTAAAGATATATCATGAAATCGTAAAATATAATTGAAATTCATTTTTATCTAGGCATGCTTAAAATTTGGATAAATAAAAGTCCACTCACTGATCATCAAGGAAGTCTTCCTCAAGCTGGGTTTGTCCCTCTAGAGCCTCTGGAACTGCTTGCATTTAAGTATATAAATGACCTATTAGTAAAATGAATTTAAAACGATTGAATTTGGAAAAATGGAGTGTGAATTTAAAATCCGCATGTCGAATTACCCTAGAAGGGGTCTCGGGCCGAAACTCAAAAAAATAAGCGGTCAAAATAAGGATTTCTTAAAATCTTGGCTTTTCGTAACATAGTATCCCTTAGCTATAAAATCCGTGTAGTTTTCAAAATCATATTACGGATAAGAAAGAAAACCAAGTCAGTATAAAAGCAGTTATGCTAAAGATACGCTTGAATCACATATATCTAAACAATGTAACATAATATGCTCATAAAAATGCAGACACAAGTCCACGCAAAAAGTAGCTACATGAATAGGCTAGGTGTAATAATCTACACTCGATTACTACATACACATGAAGCTGGCGCTAAGCGCATCACATACGAGTTCTGGATGCAAAAGCAAGTAGTACATACTACACCTACAATGGATCTAATATCAGTGCAATGTGAACATACACGTGAAGCTGGTCCTGACACGAATGAGTACTACAGAAACCTGTGTAAGCATGCATGATAAGCATATAAAATATGTAAGATCATGCCATCATAATTTCATAAATCTCGACATCAACAGATATACTAGTATCTATGAGTAAAAGCATGGCATGAGGTAAAAAAAAAATTGCATCGCAATAGTTATGGAAACTATGTATATGATATTCGTCCGAAAATAAAGCCCACTCACCGATACGCCGTCTTGCTTTAGCCCTTACTTAGCCTCTGAAATCCTCAGGATAAATGTCTTCTATAAGAGAAACCACTATACTAATCATTAAGCTACTCAAAACTCGTAAATAATAGGGAAAAGACTCGAAATTCCCTTGTTTGCTCAAAACAAGGATGTACTTAAAAACGGGTATATGCACCCGTAGGCGCCACCACGCGTTGGTATCGGTGGCAGTCACTGGTGGTGCAATATTTCATCGTGGTTGGCTGAAATATTCCAGATTATGGTCACTAGACGAAATATTCCGTCGGCATCAAACAATATTCAATTAGGAATATATCTTCAGTTAACGGAATACTCCATCTGAATCTCGTAGGAATAAGGATTTTTTCCTGAAAAAATTCACAAAACCAGTTAGCCTCGTTTCTCATTCATTTTTCACGTAATTTATGTCAAAATGAAGCTTGGGAGATGAGGAACAAAGTTTTACCTAATAAGAGTTCAAAAGATGGTCGAAAATGGTTTGAAATTTGCCTGAGAGTCTCCGCCCGAGACTTTCGGATCTTCTCACTTCAAGTGGATCCCAGCTCGAAAGTTTTGAATATGAATCTAAAAGTGATGGTGAGTCTTCTAGCGGTGATAATCTCATCCAACTTGATGAGATTCAACTGGAAAAGCTTGTCGAATTTTCTACAAAACTCGTCAGCAAAACGCACAGTTAAGGTTTGAGTTGAAACTTCGTTAAGGTTCGATATTTAGTGGCATGCAAACCAACAAAATAAAACAGTAAAAGAAGGATCCAGAAAGTGATAAAGTTACTAAAATGCCATTGATGTCAGTTTTGTAAAACCTTCGTTTTAAACCAAAATTTGTTTCACTTGCACTTACGCGTTCCTATCCATGAGTAATACAAGAATACGGTAAGAAGGGAGACCAAATAAGAAATGAGCTCAAATGTACACATATGATTTCTAGTTAGCAATTTCAGGGCATTTTTGTATTTTCACAACTTTGTGGAATAAAATGCAATAAAATCATGGACGTGTAGTAACACCAACTAACATTTCCACTGGCGCTGCAACCGCTCTCGTCGGCGGCACCCCCACTACAATACATTTATGGACATGGTTGTGTATAAAGGAAAGGGATCCTCTCCAAATTCATTCCTCCTAATCCACCAAATCAGGAAATCTGTGCCGTTGAAAATTGATCTAACAGCTACAAACAATTGCCCACTTTAAAAGTTATAATAACCTCAGTCGTTTGATCAAATTTCAACTGCACGGATTCCCTAATTTGATGGATTAGCAAGAAAGGATCCGAAAAGGACCCCTTTCCTTGTATAAATACCATCCAAACTAAAAATATTGTCAATTTACCACTCAAACCCTATACGTTTAGTGAAGGTGTACCACCTCTGTCAATTTTTGTTAGAAATTGTTAAACTCAGCATGTCTTGCAGACCTGGTCACTTTTTCATGCGTATTTTGACCACCCTATGGATCCTAGACGACTTAGAGTAAGAATTTCGTTGGCTGCCGTCTTCATGTAGGCGGATGATGTGTGTCATGAACTTAGTCACTGAATTCGAGGAAACAGAACCCTTGAAAATGGTCTTACATAGATGATATGGTATTACATAATTTTTGGGGGTAAATGAGCAAGACTTTAGTTTGTACATTTTATTTCCATAAATGTCTTGCAAAGTCTGTGGGGGCGAATAAGAGGTTAAAAAAAATATAAAAAAAAACACTCAAGTGGGAGGGTTGAAGACTTCTCCTATTTGTTTAAGTTGAAGGGATAATATAATTTTAGATGGGAATAGTGCCACTAATTTTTTTCTTTTTTTAACAAACGATATTATTTACACTAAGAAATAAGATGGTAGGCTTAGCCTCACAATGGGTTATCAATATAGTGGTTCAAATTTGTCTTTGACGAGAATCGAACATAAGACCTCTCACTTACAATTGGAGAAGAATAACTAGATCGTAGTACTAAGTAGCAAGGTCGCAGGCTTCTCCTGCTTTTTTATTTTTTATTTTTTTTTCTTTAGTACCAACTAGAATCTTGTTAGAAATAAACATTACGAGCGTAACGGTCAAGTTTAGGGGATTATATGCTAGGGTTAATCCAAAGACATGACCTAAAAAATGTTTGAGGTCAAAAAAGTGTCTTTACTCTCTGTTTATATGGTCCCAATACGTTAGTTTTTAAGACAAAATTTGCTGACGAGCGCTTATTTTTATTGGGGTGTGCTATCCATACACCATATTTTACTTTTCACACACCCTTAATAATTTCTGTCAATTAATCTTCTTCAATTCATCCGATCCAACGGCAAAAAATTAAAAAGGTGTGTGAGAAGTAAAATGGGGTGTGTGGATATCACAATCCTTTTTATTTAAGGAAAATATTAAACACACTTGTTTAGCTTCTCAAATACCTATATATAATCATGTTAGTTGAGTTATTTGATGGGAAATTTTATTTAAACCCATGTAACCTTTTTTTACACCTAATTTAAATTTTAAATGTTAATTGTCTATTTTACCCTATTGCATAATTACTTTTATGTACAAAATAAAATTAATAATAAAACTCAAATTTCTCAATAAACCCAGACATTATAATTAAACCCTAGCATCACCCTTTGTTTATCCTATGTCCATTCCGGCTAAAACCCTAATAGTTCTGATAGAGAAAAACAAGTTTTTTTACTGATGGATAGTGATTTTGAAGTTTTGAATCCTTCAACTAAGGTATGACTTGATTTATGGATATTTTGTTTGTTTGCTTCTTCTTTGGATTAAATTTCATACTTATTATATTATATTGTATTTATTTTTCTTTGTCGTCTGTCTGCCCCCAAAACACCATTGCAAGGACTTTTGATTAGTAGTGCAAAAACATATAACTTGATTCTTGGTGCAAATAACGATTGCCCAACCTCATAAACCTTGACCACTCACTAGCGGGTGGCATGTCTCCATCCAAATCCAAAGCATCAAGGTCAAATGTTTTTCTGGCAAAGTGATAGACTGAACTAGAGCTTGCATTGCATTCTCTGGCAAATTCAAATCTATAGAAGGATCTCTTGGATCCCAAGTCTATGGATGGGTTTGGTAGCAAGAAAAAAAAAACAACCATGGAAATGCTAATCATATGCAATTATACAAGGGCAAAGGACGCCTCTTTGAAGAAATAAAAAACATTCAGTTAGAGATGTTATTTTATAAAGGGAATGAGTGTAAAGATAACTTTACATTTTGAATTGGGTTTAAGAGGGTAGTTTAGGTAATAAATTTGGGTTTAAAGAGATATTAATTCTTTAATTAAAAAAATATGGGTGAAGAAAGTAAGTTTGGTGTAAAAAAATGCTAGATGGGTTCAAATAAAATTTTCTTTATTTGATTTATTTAATTCGATAATCAAACTTAACAAAGGGTGGTGAGAAGCTAGAAGTGATGTGTGAAATCAGCTCTTTTTACTTAAAAACAAATTCCGAGTGCAAATTGACAGTAGGATAATCAAGCCCTTTATTCAAAGGGATTCTCATTTTTGGGTAAAAATGGGGACTAGTTGTTTTGCTCACTTCGAATTTCAACGATCCGAACCGTCTACATTTGTAAGTGCCGATTCATAAATCATGCTTTCAAAAATTCAATTTAATCTGAAACCATTTGTCTGTTTAATTATTACGATGAAATTTCATTATTTCTTATAGAACAAAGTGTTCGTCAATTTTTTTAAATTCAATTAGATGTTCCAAATATTTTTAATTTAGCTAATATTTTATAAGAATGATAATATGAGGTACAACTTGATAAAAAGAAGTATAGTCCTCGGTCGTTCACCGAATTTAAGCCCAAATCCATAACCTAGCGTTTTTCATTTCCAAGGTATCCTCTGTTCTTTTCACACTGTCAGTGTTCGAACGCGAGGCTCGCGAGGGAGGAGGATGACGAAGTTCAGGAAGCTAAACCGACCCACGGGTCACCGCATGTCCATGCTCAGGTACCTAATCTCACAGCTTGAGCTTTCGAAAGCCAAAATATTTAATTATTTTTTTTTTCTAAAATTGAAAGAATTATGGTGGTTTGATGCGCAGGACGATGGTGTCGCAGTTGGTGAAACATGAGCGCATTGAGACCACTGTTTCCAAGGTACCTCTTTCTCTTTTTATCTCGCTTCTCATTTTTCTATTTACTTGTTGGGATTTTCCCTTATTTTACAATTTTAGGGGTTTTCTGGGTTTAGGGTTTTAGTTAGTTTCTTTGACTGAAACAAGCAATCTGATTATATATTCTGCTCTGTTTTATGATTTTGTATTTTTTGTGATAGTTCTATTAATATTTTTTTTTTATTTGGTGCCTGAACCCTGACACATTTTTGGTGCCATGGTCCAACAAATGTACAAGGACAAAAAAATTTCAGCATAAGCTTCTTCGGAGTTTCGGGAAATTTTAATATGGTTAGAATCAACAAAAAGTCATTAACTTTACGTTTAAATGTTTTGTTTGTTCTATTTGCAGGCCAAAGAGATCCGACGCGAGGCTGATAAAATGGTGCAGCTTGGGAAAGATGTATGTATTGATTCTGCTATAACTGTGTTTAAATATTACATTTGCGGGTAGTTTCTTACAAATCTCTACATTTTTATATTTAATAATGATTTTTATAAAATGAAGTTTTCGTTGACAAGAGCCTTCGCCCATAAGAGGTCGCACTTGGTGCGATGGCAAGTGCCTTCGCCCATAAGCGGTAGGTCTCGGGTTCGAGACTTGGGAGCAGCCTCTCCATAAATGGAGGTAAGGCTAGCCGACATTCACCTCTCCCAGACCCTGCGTAAAGCGGGAGCCTTGTGCACTGGGTACGACCTTTGAAGTTTTCGTTGACAGAGATTTATGTGAGCTATAGTCCATTGAAGAGATTCTTTGAGTGACTGTTTCAGTTAACTTATAGGCCCTGCTTCTCTTTCAATTGCACAAATTAATAGGTTTGAAATAACCCACCTTCTGATTTTATTTTTTTTATGAGGAGCATGTGCTTGAGTAACTCCTAGTTGCAAGTTTGTAAATTCTTTAAATTGTGACGTTATTTCAATTAGATAGAGACCTTTATGTAATCTTAGATAGGCCAACATGAGATTGAAATGTGAGGTTCAAGTATTGGAGTGAGGTTGAGTTGCATGAATATGCTCATGTTATCCTTTCTCATGGGATCAAGTATTGAGATTTTTGAAGTTCAAAAACATGTTTGGTGCTTTTATTTGGTGGTCTATAGATGTTCTGTGGACTTCCAAATAATCTCAAGATGGTGAATCTTTGATGATTCAATTGCCCAGTGTTCTTTAGTTGTTGGGTGTGAAACATAGTGAATGTTTGATGATTCAATCACCCCTTGTGCGTTTGTTGTTGGGCCTTGCATCAGTTTTTTGATGAAAGCCTCACTAGTTATTTGAATGAAAAAGGCTAGTCGGACTATTGTTTGGGTCAAAATATCTTCCAAAATGGATATGTTAATATTTGATTAAAGAGATTACATATACCTTTTTATTTTCTTTTGGGTTTGGAAAAACGGGGTGTAATTGTGGGATGTGAACCAGTATCTGCCAACAGAATCTACAAGCAAGATAGTTTCTAATTGAAATCCAAGATACCCAATGCCCAATAAGTCATGCCCCATAGAACCCATACTGTCAGTCAGCTGTGAGCTTCATGATAAATATCACTTATTTGAAAGTCTTCTATATTAACCAGAACTCAGTAGTTTGATACGGTTCTTTGACATTCGTGAGTGAACATTTTTATGTAATTTCTTTTTTTATCTATAAACATTTTATGAGGGTAGTTACCAAAGTTCTAACTCAATGTTTGGCTATATGAACATGACGAATTGGGGTTTGAAACGTGCTTCTGTACTCTAGTTGTGCGGTGCAAAGTTCTGGAAATATCTTTACTGTAGATCCACATTTTATGGGTTTTTATCTCACGTGATTCTTTTCTCTTTCAATATTGAGACAGGGCTCCTTGTGTGCCGCAAGGCGTGCTGCTGCTTTTGTGCGTGGGGATGATGTACTTCACAAGCTATTTACAGAACTGGCGTATCGATACAAGTGAACCTCAAACCCTTTGTTTTTTTTTTTTAAGTCTTCCATATTTTCATTTGTTACATTGATTGGATATTATTTTACAGGGATCGAGTCGGCGGATACACAAGACTACTTCGGACTCGTATACGAGTTGGTGATGCTGCACCTATGGCCTATATTGAGTAAGGCTGCTATTTATTCGTTGACTGACGTATGTTTGTCAATCTGGCCAATTTAAAGACTTGTCAAGGGGGTAGTTTCTACCCATGTCCAAATGCCCAGCCTAAGTAAAAGAGTGTAAGGCCGCCCATTCTAACCTTTAGATATAAATGGCCCATTTACGACCATATAGATTTGAATATATAGGCATAGACAAATCCACCCATTCAGAACTGATCAATTCAAATCCAAAACAAAATCAAGTGAAGCCAAAGAAATGTCAAATGAAATCAAGCACCAAAATGAATTATTAAGAAAATTCACAAAGAAAAAAATTCTTGAGAAAAAAATCAAAGGCAGTTTGATATGGCTATTTTTTTGGGCCTCTGGCCCTCATATGTACCAAAAGAAGGATATTTATTGGGAGTATGATGATTAATAAATAATCTAAGCGCATTTGGTGTGTGTGCATGCCTTCATTTTATGTCGGTAAATGTGCATGCCTTCATTTCCTCTGTAACTGCCTTTTTTGCATCTTTGTATGCTCATCTGCCATTCTGAATTCTTTTCTAGTAGTGATTGTTTTTCTTAAAAGTTTATGCGGACATTGAATGTCCAATATGTGATGTGATGTGATGTGATGTGATGCTTTCTAAATGTTACCCAGACATTGAATGTCCAATATGTGATGTGATGTGATGCGATGCTTTTTAAATGTTAACCTCACCGTTCTTGGGATGGAAAAGCAAGAGGAAGAACACCCTTTTCATGGAAGAAAATGGGGATTGAAAAACATAAGCAACACGGTTTACTTGTCTAGTACACCTACCTCATTGATTAAATAATGCACTTTCTTCGGTATTTTTTATAATTTTTTTAGTAGTAACGAGTGTAATTCTATCAAGTAGATATCTCTAGTAGCTCACAATGGTTCATTGACTGTTTTGATCAATACTGGTTGATGTCGGGCTACATTTTGACCATGTGTTGGCATACTTGTATAGGTTCATCGACAGAGAAAATGAGCTCAGACAATCAAAACTACCAGCCCCTCAACCACCAGAGAGAGTTCCTTTAGATCCTTGGGCAAGATCCAAGCTTTGCAAGCAGTTTGCACCTCCTAAAGAAGATAAGAGCTCTGAGATTTGATTTTCTGTATTTAGACTTTATTTCTGTAGTTTCCTAAGTTGCCGATATCTTATGATTCCGTCGAGGGAAAGTCTTCGATTTCTCGTGGTTCTCCTGATAAGAAGTCTCTGATTTCTTGTGAATCATAGGCGCAGATTGTTCTGATTATTGGCATGCATCATAATGCAGTGATATACAAATTTGTAAGCTGCCCTTTCATCAAATTGCTTAGGAATGAACAATTGTGTCGGACTCGATATGCATTTCCACATGGAGTCGAGAAGTTGATGCGCATCAATTTTTATTTATTTTGTCATTAAAAGAAGTTGATGGATCATTGAAGTCATCGTTATGTGCATGTGGCAAACAAATTTTCAAGCATGTCACCTGTTTGTCCAGGAATATTCTTGCTTGCCACCCTTAAGTGAGGGTGATGCTTGTCATCCTATTTATTACTATTAGATGAGTTTAAATTTCGAGATCTATAACACAAATTTCAAAATTTCAAAACTATTTTTTTAGTAAATTAACTCGTGAACTATTTAAAATCAGCCAATTAATCTTTTGCCGTTAGATTTCGTTCATCATTCCGTCAAATTCAAGAGCAAATTAGTTATTTCATCGTCAATTCTTACTTGTTAATGATAATCACCAATAAAATTATGACATATGGACACAAAATAATGTGTAAAACATATAGTATAATAAGAAACATAAAAAAAATCAAACGTTTACATAACGGATCATTTCTCATTATCATTACACCTTATTTTGTGTCCATGTGTCATAATTTTATTGGCGGTTATAGTTGACAAGTAAAAATTGATTATGGAAAGACTAATTTGTCCTTGAATTTAAAAAAATAGTGGATGAAATCTACCGACAAGGAGTTAATTGGCTAATTTCAAATAGTTCAAGGGTTTAATTTACCAAAAACAAATAGTTCAAATGGTCAATTTCAACTGGGGTAATAGCTCAAGGATCAAATAGCAGTTTATCCTTAAAAATATATATGACTTGGTAGATAAGGTTGATATCTCCCAATTGTAAGGTACATTAAAATATATGTGACGTAGCGGGAACATATGATTCAAGGATTGATAAGCGTCAAATTTGATAGCTTAATTTGAATTCCATCAGCGATTTGAAATTCACTAGAAAATAGAAAAAATTCTAAAGTTTAATTGATAGTAATATGAATTGATTACAAATCTAAGGCCAATATGACATATTTATTATGTATCTAACCCTACAAATCCTAGGAATTCAAATACGAAAGGAATTAATAAGGGAAATTTTATTTGAACCCATGTAATTTCTTTCTACACCTAACTTAAATTTAAATTGTTAATTGTCTATTTTACTCTATTACATAATTACTATTAAGTACAAAATGAAATTAATAATAAAACTCAAATTTATCAACAAGCCTATTAAACCCTACCATCACTTCTTGTTTATCCTACGTTCATTCTGATTAAAACCCTAATAGGTCTTGTAAAGAAAAACAAGTTTTTTTATTGATGGAGGGTGATTTTGAAATTTTGAATCCTCCAACTAAGGTATGACTCAATTTATGAATATTTTGTTCATTTGATTTTAATTTTTTTTTAAGTTTAGAAGATGAGTATTTGGGTTTCAATTTTTTTTCATCAATCCTGAATGGTTTGTTAAACTTTCTGCAATTGGAAAATTCTAAGGAAAAACTTCTTACCAATGTTCTTAGATTATAAATTTCCTTGCTTGTTGATAAATATAAGAGGATGAATTGTTTGATTTGTTGCTTATGCACATCAGTAGAAAGAAAAAAGGCAAATATCTGGGTTTGGTAGCAGAAAGAAAAAAAAAGTAGCCATGAAAATGCTAGTTGGGAGAGGGGGGTGGGGCAAGGACACCTCTTTTAAAAAAAAATTCTATTACAAATGTTATTTTAAAAAGGGAATGAGTGTAAAGATAACTTAACATTTTGAATTGGTTTTGAAATTGTAGTTTAGGTAAAAATTTGGGTTTAAGGAGAGATTAATTCTTTAATAAAAAAAAATATGGGTAAAGAGCGTAAGTTGGATGTGGAAAGAGATTACATGGGTTCAAATAAAATTTTCCAATTAATAATAACAAAATATCAAAAGTGTCGCAAAATCTTAAATTCCCATTTTGCGATAGTAAACAACATAATTCAGCCGAACTCTAGTAGGTCTTTTCGTTTTTCTTTAAATACATATATTATGGACTCAAATTTGGCATGCCAATTAGTCCGCACAACTTGAAAAGTCCAAGATATCTATTTACGGGGTATGGTTGCAGAAAATTATTTATTAACCTTTGAATTGTCAATTCTCCAATCATTTTTTTCATTAAATGTTGTTTCCTCCTTTTACTTTCATTGCATGTGAAATAATGAGATTATTGTCCTACATTAGTCTCTCCCACTTGTAAATAATTCACTGTCGAGTTTATTTTGAAAAGATTTAGGGTTGACATGAATATTCTTGGTGTTTAGTTATAATTACAAAGGAACTAATTGTTGGAAATTTGAGTAGTTTGAGTAGAAATTTCCTTGTCCCACATTGGTCATTCCCAAAAGATTTTATCACTTTATAAGGTTTTGTCCTTTAAAGAAAGTGATTGGAGTAATAGGCATGGAGACTAAAATTGGGCTCACCCTTGGGGCTCTTGGGCTCTAATAATTAAATTATTTAATTAAATATTTTTCGGATTTACTTAATTATTTTTTAATTAAATTCGAATTTAATTAATTAATTATTTTTTTATGAAAAGACTCATCCTTTCAGATGAAGTCTGAGAGTTCTTTCTGAACACAGAGCAAAGCACCCTTCTGAAGAGATGTCTCCCAACAGTCACACCCCATTCTCATACCTGTTGCAAACAGGCATCTATCTGCTATATATACATACATCTGCATAGCATTTAGAACACAGAAATAATAAACTTCATCTTCTACATTCATAAACCTTCTTACTGAGAGAACCACACTAAATTCGCCAGAAGTTAAATTTTCCGGTGCTGGAATTTTAACTTGATCGTTGAATCCTGGTGAAGCAGACGTCCGTAGAACTACAAGCACAGAGTAGGGACGAAATTTCTGTTTCAAGGACATTGCGGTACGCAAGCCTCGATCTTCAAGTTGTCTGTTTTATAATTCATATTCTAGTTTATATTTTGTTAGTTTCTATTGCATTTATTATTTATTAGCATGTATAAATTATCACAGATTGTTGACTTATATCCAACACTAATACCATACAAAAGATTAGAATGTGCAACTTGATAATCTAACCTCTTCTTGGCTGAATCTTCTTGCATCCAAATTCAATTGTTTCCTATGACTTACAACTTAATTCCATATTCACCTGTTAAGCCTTTACCAAATTAGCTACCAAATCAACATTATCTACAACCATGTCAATCATAATATTTTCAGATACGACAATATTTTGATTTTCATAGAGATATTTGTAAACATCGAAATTTCGTAAATAAATGTTGACCGATAAATCAAAGTGTCAACGCTCATGTATTACATAAATTTTACACGTAGCGTGTGACTCAACGAAAATTGAAATGAGTTGGAAAAGTCATCAAATAGGACACGTGTCAACACCTGGCAGAAACGACTTATTTCATCTGGGATATTATATTCAAAATTAGGCATTGGAAAATTCTATAAATACAAGCCCATTTCATTCATTTAGGGGGACCAATTCATATTACACCTTGAAGCTCTGAAGCTCTGAAACTCCGAAGCTCCCAAGTATCCAGGTTCCCGAAGAATCAAGAAAGCTCTCTTCGTTCTTCGTTCTTCGTTCATCCTAAGACCAAGCCCCAACGGCCCTTTGGATCAACAATCATCCACCAATTCAAGATCAAGCCCCGACGGCCCTTGAAGAAAGCACCATCGTTCATCATCCGTTCATCCAAGATCAAGCCCCAACGGCCCTTTGGATCAACAAACGTCGACAAATCCACACACATCCAACCGTTCTTCAAGATCAAGCCCAAAAGCCCTTGAAGATCCGTTCATCACTGTTCTTCAAGATCAAGCCCAAACGCCCTTGAAGATCCGCTCATCACCGTTATTCAAGATCAAGCCTCAAACGGCCCTTGAAGAAACATTCATCCTCAAGATCAAGCCCCAACGGCTCCTTGAAGATCCGCTCAAATCCACCTTCAAAGATCAAGCCCACGGCCCTTTGAAGAAACTTCCAACTGTTCATCCAAGATCAAGCCTCGTTGGCCCTTGGATCAACGAAACACCCACAAATACACACCTTACGGAGATCGAATCAGAGGATCAAAATAGAGAGAGATTGTAACCCAAAATCATCAAATACAAATATTTGTTTGTGCACGTTGTTCTTGTCTCTTTCGTTTCAGGAATTTTCCGTGTTCACAAATTGGCACGCCCGGTGGGATAATCTCTGCCTCTTATCTCTTTCTCCGTTCAAGAAATTCAAGCGCACTTCCAAAATTAATGGCATCAAGGAAGGCTCAAACTGTTCCCGCAACCAGCGCAAAGAACAAAAGCGTCCTCGTTGCAACTGGTGTCACTTTGGGCATCACGACTCGAAGCATGGCAAGAGCTACTTCTGCCGCCTCTTTCACCTCTGCATCAACTCTGCCAAGGGAACAAAAACACCCAAGGCACGAGCCTTTGATCACCTTAGCCTCACTAAGGGCACCAAGGGGGGGAAAACCCAATGAAATACTCCGAATCCATGTTCTCCGATGTTGATTCAAGCGACAGTTCAGCCATGCAAGTCATGACCATTGGAGCAACCTCAATCGATGAGCAGCTGGCTCAAATGAATGAAGCAATCGCAAGGCTAACCCGAACTGTGGAAGAAAAAGACTTGCAAATTGCAGCACTAGTCAACCGACTGGAGGCGCAGGACGGCGATAAACCCGACCCAGAGGATGATCCACTAAAGGGAGGAGCTGGCGGAGACGAAGAACCCCCGGTGAAGAAAATCAATGGGAAGCCAGAGCCAGACCAAGCAGCAGCACTCATGGGATCTCTTTCTATCCAGCAGCTGCAGGAGATGATCACCAACACCATCAAGGCACAGTACGAAGGGAGCTCACATACCTCATTGTTCTACTCGAAGCCCTATTCCAAGAAGATTGATGCCCTAAAGATGCCAAGGGGTTATCAACCACCAAAGTTCATGCAGTTTGATGGAAAAGGAAACCCAAAGCAGCACGTTGCACATTTCGTCGAAACTTGCAACAACGCGGGGACGGAGGGAGACTACCTCGCCAAGCAGTTTGTGCGCTCACTGAAAGGAAATGCCTTTGAGTGGTACACGGACCTAGAGCCTGAGTCCATCAACAGCTGGGAGCAATTAGAACGGGAATTCCTCAACCGCTTCTACAGCACCCGC